CGATAACTATAAGAAAAATTCATTCAACTTCCTTTATATTTTATTCACTAATTAACAACTGCACTTTTAGAAAAAACAAAAAAAGTTTCTGAATTCAGTAAATATGTAATTTAGCCTAAACCATTATTGAAAAGACTGGAATCATATTCACTCACTGAGATAGATAGAATGACTCGTGCACAAGAAGATAAGTTCTGATAACTAAATGGAATTAAACATCTGATGAAACGAAAATGGAATAACGTGAGAATACAGTGTTTGAAGTGGGAGTGGGGTGAGAGTCGAGGCGCTAAAGTAGTGACTAATACGCAATCGCGACGCGACGTCAGGAGAATTGGAGGATCGCGTCACGTTTTCATGAGAAAAGCATGATCGCAACATGACATCCGCGACTTCTACAGGACAAAACTCAAGAATAGCGAATGAATCGCGATCGTAGCATGACAATTACGATTTCAGAGCGATCATTCTTGGATCGCGACACAATCGCGATTATAAGATAAGAATCTTATTTGAAGATCATAACCGTGATCACATTACACGTACCTGTCGCGACTTTTTACTGCAACTTGCAGAAACAAGACTTTGACTTGAAACCGACTCTGACCACTGAATTTGATTGTGATGTCGTCAGGCAGGTCATCAGAAACAAAAGAACTAATCAATTACAACAGTAAATGCATATTCCAGAACTAAGATTAGGTAAAATAAAAACATCGTTCTTCTGGGAAACGACCAGCGACTGGAAAAAGCTTGTAAGATCTAAACCGAATATTATCACGTATCAATCGTTGAGTGCTATTAAGTATCACCTTACTGAACATTTGAAGCAAATACAGCGGTTTTGAACAGTAAAGTACGACAGTAAAAATCAAGTCATATTTTCACGATAAATGTATCGCTTGCATTTCAAGTTACTTCTGTTCAGCTATTCGCTATTTTGTTTGTTGAATGAACCTTTTTCGTGTCATGTACTGCAGTCTTAATTTAAATCAAGATGAACGTTTTTACAAGTTCATGTCCTTTGTTGTACTTCTTAATAAGTCTCACTTTTTTTAAACAGTCGTGAGCAATCTCGATGATCTGCAGCTTGTTCTATGCACTGATGACGCTACGATCATCCGTCTGGCTGTTGATTTTTATTCAAGTGGCATATGCAACCTAAGTTTCCGCAGAAAGTTGTGAGACGGCTTAATGTAAATAATTATTCAAGAACAAAGACGTCCATATGCGTCATCTAACACATGAACTGCGAATGGTAATAACTACACCAATAGAAAGTCCATCTACACGATTGTGTTGCTTACCGTTCGGTATTGGTCCGCCTAGAATGAGAGCAATTTACATTAATCGCTCTTTCTACTGAAATTCTTACTTGTTACACCGTGTGTGTATAAACGATCCTTGTGTTTGTTGAACTATTAACAAGGTTTGTTGAACTGATGTAGATCGAGCTGTCAAATACGCTATCGATATGTTTATTGCTAAAGAACTTGAAAGAGGATATTTCTTTGTTTTTCAGCTGCAGGCGAACAGTGCTTTCTCTTAAAGTATGTGCTGCTGCTACTGCACTCGTTTTTTTGTAAAATATGCACTCAATTTTTAGTAAAATCTGCTTTGATTGTAAGATTCGATGTGATAATTTGTCACCTGCAAGCGTATGAGCAGTGTATCGTACACTTAGCTGTTGTGTTCAGTTGCGATTAGAAATACTCACATCGAAAGATATTTGAGACATAGCACATGTCAGACGTTTTAGCTAGAACTACAGAGCTTTTTAGCTAGCTACAAAACTTTTTAGATTGTCCTAATCATCGCTTTTTTATAGTCTCTGTTCATCATCTTGGTGTTTTTTCCAGATAAGAACAAAAGTCTACCAATGTAATGTGTATTGTCGGTTTTAAGAAAAAAAGAAAACGTTAAAACTGTTATTTCATATATTCTTGGGTGAGTTTGTTTTATAGTGAATAGTTTCTTTGAAATTAGTGAATAAAATATAAAGGAAGTTGAATGAATTTTTCTTATAGTTATCGAGTGTTTCAACTACTTGTTAGTCTTATAATTAATTCTTCCAATCTTCTTCGCGCTTAATACTATTCTAAGACGGTTAGGATAGACTCGACAACTGTATGTTAGTTATAGAGCAAAATCTAATATTGTTTTTTCTTGTTTTTGCTATGTTAGTTTGTTTTAATAAATCAATTAACAATACTAAGATTTGTTTGTTTAGGTGATCAAAACGAAAAAGAACTAATAACGGCGAAAACGGAAACCACAACGGATAAAAAAATATCAGAAAAAAAAACTCAGCATCCAGTTGCACATTCGTTTTACGCTCAAAAGGTATCCACCTTATTTACCGAAATTTCTTTGATATAATTTAATACTTCAAAATCCTTATTATGGTTTCTACTTAACGTTTTAGAGAGTAAATCCCTTTGCAGTCAATGATGGCCAATTACAACGTCAAGACATGAACAACAGATTATCCAAGAAAATGAAAGTTTCACCAACTCCTCCTGAAGGTAGACATTATCCTATTGTGCTTTTATTCAACAGTAATAGGTAAAATGTATTATTTTTCTAGTTATTTGTTTGAGTGATGATGATGATGATGAAATTGTTACTGATTCACCCGCGGTGAAAAGTTCAACAACCGTCAAATTATCAGACTTTAATCAATCATCATTGTTGAACGGAAAAGATGATCTATCAAATTGGCCAACGATTCAGTCAAAAGATATCGTACAAATACCCGAATTACCGTCAAGCTGGATGAACGTTATACAAAAACCGATGACAATTAAATGTACAACTGTAAGATTTGGTATAGTCGAATTTCAAGTCGAAAAAGAATCGGTTTTTTTAAAAGAATCAGAAATCGAAATGAAATTAAAAGGTATCTAATATCTTCAAAAGTTCCTTTTGAAAAGTAAACTATTAAATATTATTCTACTTAGGACTTTCAAAAGGACGTTCACTCGAAAATTTAAATATTAAATTAGCCTATTCAGATGTTGTACAGTTTATTTATTCGTATCAGTCACGTCCACCTGTTGCATTGATACAAGTTCGAAAAGAATTTGCCGAATTATTTGAACAATATATACCATCAGCCGATGAGAAAGGTTTAGCATTTGATCCAACGTCAAAAGGTAAAAAAATACTTTGTTTAAATATACACAAACATCTATTTTCTATTCCAGATGAAAGAAGACGTCGTATTCTTCTGCAATTAAAACCAGTGTCGCCTGATGTTGAAAAGAATAATATACCAGTTATCTATCATTACTTAAAATTACGATCACCAAGAATGGGTATTGCTTACATCGTCGGATTGAGAAGTCAAGAACTTTATAATTTATCTCGTTTTGGAACTCCATCTTCCTCCTCTGGAACGCAAGCGCCAACTATGAGTCCATCAGATTTGTATGTCGTGTATTTGAATCTTTTTAAACTCGTACTTCTGTATAATTATTATTATTTTTATTTTTAGAATACAAAAAACAGTTTGTTTAAATCATGGACAAATACGTTTCGATTTAACGCGCGATGATTTAATGTGTTTAAACGAAGCAGAATTTTTAAATGATACAATTATTGATTTTTATTTACAGTATGTTTGTTTTCACTTTCATTTTGTAATTATCACAAATCTTTCAACAGCAATGCTAAAAAGTTGCGATGTCCTAGCTGTTAGCAAGTAAACGATTAGCCAAAGCTCGATTTCCAGAGGATTCGTCTTGTTTCCCTTTGACAAAATATTCTGGCGACGCTACTGGATCAGGGCCATAAATTGCGGGTGTGTGGGAGGGGTGTACATCCCCCTCAAAATAAAAATTTGTGCTATCTTCCCAGCGGAAATTAAAATGTTTTTTCGTTATTTTTCGTCGCACAGTGAAAATTTTTTTTCTTACAACCCCCTGAAAAAAAGTTTTACACCTCAAAGTTGATTTCCTATTTGAGGCCCTGTACTGGATTCGACAGTTACTACTAGTAGAGTAATGATGAAATTAATCTACTTTTTAGATATATCTACTATGAATTATTATCTGATGACGATCGAAAAAGAACGTATTTGTTTAATTCATTTTTTTATACACGTTTAACAAAAAAAGGCAATGATGACGATTCTACTGTGCCGTAAGTTGAAGTAATTGCAAACTAGCATATACAATGTGTGTTTGAGTTCATTAGTCATTCTTTTTTAGAGCATCTGTTCGACGTTACAATCGTGTTAAACGTTGGTTACGTGATGTTGATATATTTGAAAAAGATTTTTTGATTATTCCTATCAATCAACATGCTCATTGGTATTTAGCAATTATTTGTTTTCATAATAGTGTTGAAACAGATGCTGACTTATTAACCAGTGATGATACTTCATCAACATCATCAACACCACAAGATACAACATCAAAATCAAACACGTCTATTTCAATTTCAAATCATACTGGTATATGACTACTACATTATCACGATTATTTTCTATATTTAGCTATATGTCATTTTTTTAGTTCAACAAACATCTACACGACTGGATTCTACAAAGAAGAAAAGTGGTGAAGACGTTTGTGATCATCTTCCACTATCGTCAAATGAACGTGTAGTTGCCGGATGTATTAGTATCGATGCCAGTGATGATGCTGATGAAGCACAAGCTGATGTTACATTATCTGAAGATGAAAATTTAATGACAACAAATAATAATAATTGTACTGATGATTCTAATTCCATCATAACAACATCAAAATCGGTAAAATGTCCATGTATTATCATATTTGATTCATTAAAAGTTGGATCAAAAGCACGTGTTGTTGCAACATTACGTGAATTTCTTGTATTGGAATATGAACATAAAAAATTACCATTATTAACGTCATTAACACAAAAGAAACGTTATAATTGTGAAACAATTAAAGGTATAATATCACGTGTACCACAACAGCCAAATTTTTATGATTGTGGTTTATACGTTTTACAATATGCTGAATGTTTTTTTAAATATCCATTGATAAATTTTAAATCAGCTGATGTACCAACAGATTGGTATGATAAAGAAATTATGAATTCAAAACGAAAACAAATTTTAAATGTGATCAATCAACATATACTTACTGTTAAAGAAGAAAATACGCCAAATGGAACATTATCAACAACAAAAGTGACCAATTGATTATTAATTCATTGTTGTATTTTTTTTCTCAATGTTTGTATATGTTCTGTTTTTTTTTCACACTCTGTCGTTTTTTCATGTATTAGATGAAGAAAATAAACGATTCGTTTGTAAAACGAAAGAATATTTTTTATTATCAAAATGCATTTCTCAAATTTGGCATATGATTCAGTAATTGTACCCGGTCAATATTTAAAAACGCTCAAAAGTTACTCCTATCGTCGTTAGTTAACTGAATTTTGTCATTAATAAACTCTATTTTATGCTTGTATGTTAGAAGACTGAAAACTTAATGTGTTTTCTCTTCCACTTTCGACAGGTGAAAATTATTTGGTATTTTGTTCGCAATAACTTGTGTCATCTTTAAAAAAAAAGAAAAATATTCTGTTTTGTTTTGTTTTTACAAATTTGCGTATCTTTTGTTACTACCTTTCTTTTTGTTTATGTATTCAGAAATTGTGTTTTATAAATGGATTTCATTATTTGTGAAAAAATATATATCCCATTGGTTGTTTTTTTCGGATTTGTAAAATATTCCAAAAAAAGAAATAGAATTATTTTTCTGTTTTAATACACGTTTTGTCATGCATTTTGAGATACTTTGTTTTCAATGTTCAGCTTTAATGGAATGTCTGATATCATTTATTATTGCAATAAGATATCTTAGCAGCTAGATTTAAATTGATACTGAATCTTGAATATGTATTAATATTAATTATTATTCGCTATCAATCGAAAGAACAACGCTCGAACTTTTCGATTGTTTTTTTTTGGCAGAGTTTCGTCATTTATGTGTTTTAATTCTAAGATATTTTTTATTACAGATATTATTTATTCTTTTTATCAACAGGTTTTAATTGATTTTTAAAAATGGCTGATCGAATATCTAAAACTAGAATATCGGTACGTCTGAATTTGTTTAAAAATATAATTATATCTTATTATTTGATATTTCATTCACTATCATAGTTAAAGATTAAAAAGATATTCTTTTTCATATTTTTAGACATCACAAATATCAAATAATTATCGAAATCAACGTGGTTCCAATATGGCTAATAATAAAAACGATACAACATTTGAAATGCTTGTTACTTATTTAGAAAAACGTTATCCAACCTATTCAAAGTTTGTTCACTTGGTATACTATTTTTGTTGTAATATAACGGTTTCATAATAATCTATGTTAATCCGTATACGTCTGTCGATGAAGAATGAAACATATTTATAAGTTCTTTTATATTGATAACTTTTTTATTTGTTTTTTAAAGAGATGCTATAACATGTGCATTATTAAAGTATCGTCAACAACAATCAACTCTGACTGGTATACCACTTGCACGTATTGAACAAGAGGTGCTAGCTATTGTAGCAAAAGATAATGATGCGCCTATCATTTCTGAGAACAAACAGGAAGAAAATCATGCAAAAGTAAGGAAAATTGTTGTTGTTTTTTCCAACATGGATGAATAGGAAAATAATATAACCAATTGATCAGCTTCACTATCTATTTCTATTCTAGAGTGAACCAGAACAATTGTTATTACCATCTCAATATTTTGGTGTTCACTATGAAAATGTAAGTATGACAACCTTAATTACTATAGAGTTGAGTAAACCACCATCAATTTTTTATTTTCAGAGTGATGTCAACAACGTACAAGAACAAAAGCCAACAGTGGCTAGTATACTATGGGAAACATTCAACCGCCATCGGCGTAATAACGAGGAGAATAATCAGGCGAGCAAGAATACCGAGAGTGGAGATTCTTGTCCAATATGCTTAGAATCCTTAATAAAAGAAAAGACAGAATCTTTCCCATGTCAACATATTTTTCATAGGAAGGTACGATATAATTTTTTTCTTTTAAAATCTCCTAATATATTCTACTTTTTTTTAGTGTCTCGAGCAATGGTTTGCTATTGAGCGTACTTGCCCGTTGTGTAGAAGATTGGTTATATTTGACGATGAATTTCCCAGTTTGACATAAAATTACGTGACAACAATAGGTGTATCGCATGTTTAAACTAACTTTCTGTTTCATTCTTTGAGCTAAAACTTCGAGTTTATGTGTTTTCAGACACGCTCTTCTGGAGAATTTTATCTTTCGTCTTATATCACAGTTTTTTGATAACAGATCGATAATTATGATATTTTTAATCAAACTTTCAATCATAAAACTCTTCCAAAAAAGGAAACAAAGACATGTGAAAAACGTTTACTTTTGAAATATCAGTTTTAGAATTTCACTTTTTTACAGTGAAAACATCCTAACTCTGAGAAGCAACAATTTTTTTTTTGTTGAATAAATCACTAGATAGAGCTTAAAAACCTGAACAAAACCGATGACTTCACAGAATCAGCTATTTACAAACTAGATGGTTTGGGAACAATTTTTCAACCAAAAAAGATGTAGATAAAAGTTTAAAAAAATATCAGTTTTAAACTACAACTCACCTTTTTTCGATCAAAAACTCATGGATGATGTAAGAGTAGATGTTAATGAAAATGCCAGTTTAAAAATTCAAAAAATGATTTAGAACAAGATCTGACAAAGAATTGTCTAATTTTACGTGTTTCTGCTCCTTGTCACTTACATTCTTTGTTTTAAAAGTTAACTTTAAACCGTTCATGTGTTTAAATAACGTTTTCTAGATATACTAGTGGTGGATATACTATAGTACATAGGCTGTCAGATGAAATGTGAACAAAAACATGTATATAGCGCATCATCTGCATGTAAAATTAAGCAATTACCTAAGAATTACTTAAGCATCATTAAAAAAATTTTAGTTGGCGACGAGATCTAAATTCTCATGAAAAACATCTCTGAAAATCTCTAAGTTCAGAGTTTAAGCGTAATCAATTCGAGAGAGGTCGAGGTAGTTCAAACATGCGACACTCTTATTCAGTTGATTCGATTGTTTTTATTGTTTCTATTTCATTGATTTAATCTTTTTCTATTGGGTTGACTAGCCTTATTTATACAATATTGCGGTTTTTGTGTCATATGTGCCATATTTTTTTAATTGATTTCAGAGGACATTTTTAATGTATATATGTTTAAATATAATTATAATAAATGTACAGGTACTCGATTTAGCATAAAAAAACTCCGTGATTAGTTGTTTTGCAGGTAAAGCAATATGGCTTATCAATTCAACTGGTTTATTATCAGTAGATGAAGATGACTAAGATTTCGTAGGTTTAGAACAATTATTTAGCTGCTGATCTTAATGGGTAACGTAGGATAAATGATTCTCTTCGTATCTCTTGCATAACTTTTTGTCTTTGAAACTTCCTTTTAAAACATTAGCCATTTCATTCTCTACACAAAACGTATCAAACATTTTTCTATCTACTGTAAAAAGAAAAAGAAATATGGATAAAATACTGCAAACTTTCAATCGTGACCGTTTTCTAGCTCAAAACACAACGAAAATAAACTATTTTGAACACAGTACCATGCATCAAAGTCCAACCACAATACATGCTCGAATGTTCTTCGAAGTATCGATTTTCTTTTCGTCTGTAATAGTTGTGGACGTGTCTTCTGACGCAAAAGCTGATTTTATCAAAGATTCACCAGGACAAGAGAGAAGAAACAGAGATATTGAACTGTCGCTGTTCGGATGATACAAAAGAATGATTTTACTGTAAGATAAAACAAATCCGATCTCGAAATATTTGAGTTTAGACGAGTTGTCAAAGTTCACCAATCGCCCCGAAACTGCAGTTACAAAAAGGATGGTTTTTGACAAAATAGATCAGAGAAGAACTTTGTCCAAACGTCTTGTGATTATGAGGAGTTCTAAACGCTTCTAGTGGTAGAGCTTCTCAAGGGCTACAAAATGTCTCTCTTCTCCCTTCACATATCCCAAAATATGACGAGCTAAAATTGGAAAAAGGTATTTCGGGTTAGAAAATTGAATCTACACAGTCAAAAATAAGAAAGTTATGCAAACGATACGGCGAGAGTCATTTATTCTGTGTCATCCGTTATTAGCAAACATGTATTTGTTTGCTAATCACTCATGTTGGGAGTCGGAAAGAGCATTTGACAAGTGCAAGAGAGCTTACTTGAATCAAATTACGCACAATACGTTCTCTTTTCTGTTCATCACTACTCAGTTGTCGTTTGAGAGCATTAATTTTCATCTCGTACTCATCTATCAATTGAGTCTAATAATATGAAGAAAATGGATAAATACAAATACCGCTACTTTCTGTCTCAAATCTTTTACCTTATCTTTTGTAAATCGTATTTTCACTTGTCAATACGTCTTAGTGCCAATAGTTACCTATTACTCTATTCAATATATGTTTAAAACTAGACATCAAACTACATCAACATTAAAAAAAGATTTAAATTTTTGGACATTTGTATAAAACTATTCATTGACCGAAAGGAAAATAGCGAAAACTACGTTTTTTGTGGTCGGTGGAGCACGTACTACCTGTTGTCCTCTTTCGTTTCTATTTTTTATACAGTTATTCTGTTGTACATAGAGAGGACGAGAATTGTGTGTTCAACAACCTTGAATGGTTAATATTTACTTTTATATTATTCATCTGAATTGTACATTTTTTAAAAAAAGATGATTTTTTTTTCTAGTTGTGTGAAAATGAGAAAAAAACTAGATCTTCATATTGCCCAAGTTAACAATAATAGATTTTGTGTGTGTATGTAGGAAAAGAGAAAGAGAAGGTTATACCTTCGGCGTCGTCCGTTCGGAGGAAGAAAAAGCCAGAGAAGAAAATGACATAATAATTATGATATACAAATGAAAAAGAATTGAAAGAAAAAAGAAAAAAAAATTCAGATCATGTATAAAAATGAAAAAAAAAAAGAAGAAAATGAGACTAAAAATGTTATAAAGAGTACTAGTGAACGTATATAGAAGAAGTGAATAAAAAAAGAAACTTACGTGGAAAAGGTCAGGGCTATGGTAATGATTTTATAAGAATAAAAGTTTATTCTGACATGGTATTACTACAATAATCAAAATGTTCTATCACGTTTTAATCCTACTTGTTCTAATTTTTTGTTCAACAGGTGAGTGAGTCAAACAATTGTCTATCAAGGTCGTAAAAATATATGTGAAGATGAGTAATTTTTGTTGTATCAACATACTGAGCGACTTTGACTTATATAAAAATGATCGTAATTGATTCTTTGTTTAAGGTGAAAAATTTTATAATAGAAATTAAGAATAAAATCAACTTTTTCATGTTGAAATAGCTATTTCAAATGATCATTTTCTCATTCTAATAACATTCATGTATTTGCATGATTTTTTAATGTTCATTCCCCTTAGGAATTTGTCATGGCTTCCGCCATCGTCGTCAAATTGCGAATGATCGATTGGTAAATCCGAATTTTAAACCAGGAACTGGTTCAGCTTTCCAGGGACTGAATAATAATAAAAATGCAGTTGACCAGCAGGCACCACCATCTGATTACGTTGGCAATATCAATTATGATAATCAACAACAACAACATTTTGGTAGTAATCAGAGATTAATGAATAATCAACAGCAGTTTCCAATGCACAATAATCAACAACCTTCTCTGAACAATCCCCCACAAAATTTCGCACCTGTTCAACAACAAATGCCAAGAGATGGTAATCTTCAACAGTCTTCGCTACAACGAATTAATCAGCAACAACCTTACCAAAACTATCCTCAGCAGCAACTGATGAATAATCAAGGTCAGCAACAATTTTCTGCTCAATTTCCTAGTTCAGCGCAACAACGATTAAGTAATCAACAAGAATTACCAAATACTAACCAACAACAGGCTTTAAAAGCAATAAACAATCAGCAGCCAGTACCGGCCTATAATCCAAATATTCAAAATTTCCCTCAAAATCCTATGAATAATCAGCAATCGCAACAACTCAACCAAAACTATCCAAGTGATTTACCAAAAAATTATCAACAACAACCTCCACCTATTTATACTGATCCACAAAATTTTCCTAGACAACAACAACAACTTTCTCAAAGCGAACAATTAAATCCAGGCCTTCGATCTTCGAACAACAACAACAAGGGAGGTAATGTATTTCCAAAAAGTAATGGAATCTATCGATCGGGTAGTGTACAGCCATCACCATTTGCTACAAGTGGATGGTTTAGCAATAATAACAACGAATGGTTTTCAAAGAATGGATACTACGTTGGCGATAGTCAAAGTCCAATGAGGTAATAACTCATGTTTGACATGTTATTTTATTTCGAAATTGAAAAGCTTTTAGTTTAACTGACAAAGTAAAAAATGTTGTTTCAACTGGTCAATTAGTACTGTCGAAAATAGCCAAAATTTTTCTTAGCAAAGGAGAAAAATCTTATCCAAAATATGAGCGTGAGTTGAGTTATCAACTGTTTCCTTGACAATATTGTTATAATAAATTTATTTTAGCTGGGAAAGAAGGGAGAACGGTTTGTTCTAATTCAGAAAATTTTAATGGTTTTACTTTTGGACATTTTCCTTGTCCATTACCGGACACCGATCCAAATGTTATATTTTGCTGTGGTCCAAAAAACCGTCAATATTGCTGTAATGCACAGTAAGTATATATATATATAGAGAGAGAGAGAGATATCGCTCGTCTAAAAAGTGATAGACTGGATCATTTTTTAAGTAGTAGAATGTTCTAATTTTGGCTATGAACGCGTGATGAATAGAAAAGACAAAAGACTTGTTTAAAATCCACCGAAACCACTTGAAACGTTTAGAACGTGATTAATTGAATAAATTGAATACTCAGAACATCGAAAGAACGCTGAAGTAATCTTTTTTCTTAGTAATCTTTTCTAGAAAACTCAAAACTCTCAAGATTTAGAAAATAAAGGTTTTTATATCTTCAATCCATATTGCAGTATATATTTGCAATATGCAACTCTAATAAATCGGAATATAAGCAGACAATGGTAAAAGCTGCAGTCTATTTCAACCAAACATTATTTAAACATAAGCGAACCTATTACTTCTTTTTTGGGACGCATAATAGTAGACAACATCTGTACCATCATATGCATTGTCTCTCACGTTTTCTAGGGAATACAATGCTGAACAACGATACGGACAATATGGTTTTGATGGACGTTTAACAAAATCGGCTAAGATAAACAAATCAAAAACAGTTGTTTTGGCTACCGTGTTACCAATACTAGGTGCATTACTGATTATTGGAATTGGAACCATTGGTATTATGAAATATTTGAGATGGAGACGTGTTAAAACATATCAATACAACTCTTATACAAGTTAGATTTAATCTTTAAATCTATAGTGCTTGTAAATATATTTTGTTTTAGGTTCTCCATCGTCACGTAAATCGGATCAAATTCGTTCAGTAAATGAAAGAAATTTATTTGCCGAGTATGAACGACAGCCAGATGGCAGTTCAACATTAAGATCTAATGGAATCTGATTCTAAACAGTATGCGCATATAACCCCGTGATTATCTGATTGAACAGTATCAAACTTAATAAAATTTTTCGCCTTCTATCCTCGCAAACACATCTCGTATTTCTTTGTACATAGACACTCGAAAGTTTACGTAATCACAATTCTGTTCTCGAATGATTTATCGCAACAGAAGGTTTTTTTTTGTGTACTAGCTATTAACGTTCTTCTTTTTCATTAGATTATACAATTGTTTCTCAAAGTAGAACCTGATAGAATTTTCTTCCTTTCTAGCAATAAAGTGTGTTTTCTCCATGTACGTTTATAAACTTTTTATGTTTTGTATTTTCAAACAAAAATATCTCTTTTCAGAATTCATGTTAGTTGTTTTGTTTTTGTATTAATATTGTATGCTACCGATATATATTGTCAACAAATACTATCGGTACATGAGTGATTATTCAGTGATGAAACCGCTAAAACTTGTAAAAAAAGAGACTGACGTTTTTTTAAATTACTAACTAGATAGTTGAAAGAGAAAATGTTTTGATTGTAAAAGCTCACAATCGATCATGTAAAATGTTCTTGTTATAAATTCTTAGGCAATAATCAATAGTTTGTCAGCTAGAACCTTCCTCGCCGAAAATGATTAATGTGGTGTTTGCACGTATTAGTGAATAAAAACACATTTATGATTGAAAGTGAACGGATTTGGCATGAAAACAGACAAAAAAGGGCGAGGAATAGTGGCATCCAGCAGAAAATCCGACAAAATTCTAGTGCAATCCTATAATAGGATCCTATGGGATCTTTCAAAATTCTGCAAGTTCTGAGAGGATCTTATAAGAATCTTACAGTAGGATTTTGGGACTTTGAGGTTTTCTCACAAAATTTGTAGGATCTTACAGAATCCTGGAGGATCCTACAGTAGGATCTTGTAAGAATCTTGTAGAATCCTACGATAGGATAGTAAGACCTAGGAAGCTGAAACCTTATTTCACGTACTGTTCAGGGAAAGTTTTTACTTTCTAGATCGCATGGACAATGTTGATAAACTTTTTTATTAATTTTCTATATTTAAACTCATTGATTCGTGTTTGACGTTCTTTTACTGAATACATAAGTTTTGTATCGCTTATTATAACCACGGAACGACGTTTCGAATTAAAGTTACAGTTTTTCCCAAATTTTGATTTTTATACTTCTAACGAGGGAACATATGTAACTGACCAATCGTTTTTTTAATGAAATCTAGCGGAGTATAGGTAAAAAATAGTGCTGAATCCGAATATCGGCATGAGACGGGCCGCTAGGCCTATGAGTACCGGATTTCTGGGAAACCAGGTTTCCAGAGCCAGAAACTTTTTCTGATCTGTCTCGATTGTAGAGCACATCGACAAACCTATAAAAAACTAGTTTTCAGAATTTTGGAACGCTTCCACAGCCCGCCGGACGGACTTTTCTTCTCTTTTTCGTACGCTGAGGTTTTTTGAGGGAGCAAAAACGCTTTAAAAAACCCCAAAACTAGTTTTTTATAGGTTTCTCGATGTGCACTGCAATCGAGACATCAGAAAAAAGTTTCTGGCTCTGGTAACCTGGTTTCCCAGAAACTCGGGACTCGCAAGGCCTAGCGGCCCGTCTCATGCCGATATTCGGATTCAGCACTATTTTTTACCTATACTCCACTAGATTTCATTAAAAAAACGATTGGTCAGTTACATATGTTCCCTCGTAAGTCTAAATTGTTCGGTAGAAATATCTGGAGAGATAATATAAGTTACATTTCGAAATAATAATGTGATGTTTGAAAATGAATGTATACAAATTTACAAGTTCTTCAGAAATTATTATTTTCTTCTTCGATTCAGCTACCATTGTATTAGATTAAAAAAAATTGAATAAAAAATGACTTATACTGCAGTAAAAGATAAAAAACATGATAAAAAAAGAGCTTTTCTTATTCTTACAATGAATTCTCACGCAATTGTAACTCAATAAACAAGTTGAATAATGCTACAATTCAGAAATAATTGAAAATACATCGAGTACTGTACAGAATCTCATGCACAGAGGCTAGTTTTTGAAAAATAGAGGTACATTCTTCGACATATTATTATTCTGAATTAAAATCATAATCGATCCTTTAATGCTTGATAATGTAAAAGGCGATCTTTGTAGGCTTTCGCAAATATGCCACGATTTTCTTGTGCACGTCGCGTTAAATAAGGCAATAACGATGATAACGGACCATATGGTGTTAGTTTATAGACTTGAAAGCCTGATTTAGCTAACAAATAGAGATAACTTATTCAACAGATGTTTTTTTAGGTGTTAAAGTAGAATGGTCTTTTTTTACTAACCAAGAGTAAAAGTGATATAATCGCACATTCCAAACAACGTTGCAAATGACATAAGTTCATCAGCTGGTTTTATACCCCGTTTTTCCATCCTAAAAAAGCAACCGAAATAATAATGCAATGAGATGAAGGTTTCAAGTATACTTACTGTTCTAGAGCAAATCGAACAGTATCTTCATTATGAGATGCTACAAGTACTCGGACAAAATTTGATTCAGTAAAATTAAGAGTTTCAACCAGTGCTTGTTTATAACATTCTGTAGTAGCATTAAAATTGGAATGTATTGGATCTTCTACACCGGTCTCAACAGCATGTCTCCGTTCCTAAGCGAAGCAAGAATGAAGCCAGTCGTGAAGATTTGGATGATTGAAATCTTACTTGATCCATGTATGCACTAGAACATAGAGAAAAATTTTCTAAGTAGTTAACATTTGAAGACGATTCAAAGTGAGGGATAGTTTACCCTCGAACAAGCTTATAGCCAATATAAAATCCATCCTCTTTTGATTTTTTCAAATCATCTCGTAATATGTTTAAGGTATTCTAAATTTGAAGTTGAAAATAATATAAACAAATCCTAATACTTAAGATAGCTTATCCTTAAAATAATTCTAGTAAAGTTTACCTTCTTGTAGCATTGATAAGTATTGTATACCAACAAATTGTTTCTGTTGTATAATCGTTGTAAATGTATAACTATTTTATTGATTGCTGTTTGAAAGTACGATTGTTCAGCATCAATAAATATTCGTCCTTCATTTTTTTTAACAGTCTATACTTATACTTACGAAATGAAGTAGAATGTGAAGCCGCTGAACGACTGTAAACTTACTTGAATAATTCGATTTATACGCAATAATAAATTAGAAATTTCACCAAGTTCATTAGGGGTTAGCGAATGAGTAAAATCCTATAGACAATTAATAACATACGTACTAGTTACTAATATATTGAGGATATGACAAGACTTACATTCTTGGTTGTTAGTAGAGAGTCTATTGTATCAAATAGGTTATGATCAGTTATTCTACTCTCCAAAAATTGATTTAATTTTTGTAATACCAGTGGACGAACGAGTGCTGTTATCTTCATGGCAATAAAACTTGATTGCCCACATAATTCTCGTGATGTATTACTATTTTTTATGTAATTAAACATATTTGTATTGAATATTCGTTCATCAGGATGGTAAATTTTGAATGTGTTTGATTCATCTAATTCGGTATTAAATGATGACTTATGAACATTGTTAGACGCTGTTATCGACGTTGAGATATCTGATTCCATTGAATAATCTAATATTACTTTAACATTATATTGTTTAAATTTATCAACTATTTGTTTCACTTCATCCGTCTTTGTACCAGCTACGAATTGACCGTAAAGTGTCGTACGCATTAATTTCTCAAATAAATTTTGACCAAAAATATTGCTAGACCATCGAATTAACTATAAAAACTTAATGTAAGATAATTTTAAGACTATCCGTATGACATAACTTACCTTCGGAAGACTGTTGACAATTACATCATATGAAATCAATTTATAGACTAACCATCCTCTGAGTAATTCTGATTTTGATTTATAGCCATATGCAACAGAAACTGAATCAAAGTTTTTGATACTTTTTTTAGAATCATAATCAGGGAGCAATAATATCGATGTTGTTGAAAAAGAAGAGCTCGGTAATTTACAATAATTGTTAATAAATTTGTTTTTGATCACAAATCGGATCTAAAATATTGTAAAAACATAATATTTCGTACGTATAATTGTTATCTACTATTGAAAAAAATATGATTTATTTGTTTCTTATAACATACTGGTAAAAACAATATGATCTGATGTTGTTTTTTAAACAATAAACTTGACCAGTTAAATTCTACAGATTAACCCTTTACGGCCGGCTGCATAAGCCATTTAGTAACAATATCCCCTTCTGTGCATATTCCTTTTCTGTCGGCTGCCAAAAATTAACTAATAAAAATATTCCTCCCTTTATACTTATTGTTTTGCTATGACAGGGATCGGCAAAGTGTATTCTTTTAGAACGAAATTCCTTTGACACTTAATAGATCGATGTTACCGGTAGTCAACACCCGGCCGTAAAGGGTTAAAGGTTAGTTTTTGTTTCTCTTATATGGCTTACCTTTAATAAGGTGAACATATTATACATATATACCCATAAACGAATAGATACAATGATTATGATGACAATGTTCAGCTATTATTTTTGCATACTTCGTCGAACACATGAAGAGTGAAGGACATAGAAGAATGGATAAATCATAGGTAAATAGATGACAATTTCTATCTCTCATTTGTTACTTATATAAATAAAAGAAATGTTCGTGCAAACAAATACACTATGATTTTCTTGTGCACGACGAAATAGACAGGGTCATACAGAATTGAGAGACTACTGGAAACATACTTGCAACATCGATAATCAGAATTGGCTGAGAAAAAAAGAGGAACAACGATTAACTATTAGATGAATAGGGTGAAGAAAAATGCAGAACACGTACCTAATGCAAATGATGTATAATCACTTATACCAGAAATTAGAGAATTTTTGGTATGCACACCGATGCCGAATAAATAAATATGTAACTTTTTTTCGTAAGAAAAGCGCCGAGGTAGTACCGCATGGTTATAGTATAGCAATGTGATATACAGTTGATCCTAAAATTGATAGACCGGAAAGCCAAAGTTTTTTGTTTCTGTTATACCGACGAAACCAAATGAGCTAGAAGGCTGCGTTTTTCACCACATTGTCATGGAGTCTGGTCTATATGTGGATATTTTCATCTTAAACTATTTTCATCGTTGAATTTTTGCTTATTGAAAAAATAGTCAGCACACGTGCTTTTTTGCTGTTCCAAAATTGATAGACCAGTAACTAGAAAACGTGAAAAAGCATGTTTGCGCCGTTCTTCTATCATATCAGTTAACTGATCTTATACAGATCTCCTCGCGTGTATAATGCCCTTTGTCCGTGTCAGAAATTGTTTCATTTCATTCACGTCACGGAAGGAGCACTCAAACGGATTTCACGAAACCGTAAACCCTCCTTGCATTTTTCTGCCATAATGTTGAACTATTTTCGATCTGTTTTTAATAAGTTAATAATAAGCTCTGAGACTTTCAGTCAAGAAATTTTCTATCTTAGATGAAGTTTTCTATTCCTATGTGCTTCTCAATTATGGCTCCACATATAACGGGCATTTGATCTCAAAATAAAGGTGAGAGCAGTTGATGTTTTATGGTTCGCTTGTGAATATTGCCGATAAGGTAACGTTTGCCGTATGTGAAGAAAACATTCACGCTTGAACTTTCAGAGAAAGTATACCCAAAGATATTATCGCTAGAATCAGTTCATTATTAGAGCCAATCTAATATTCTGTGAATGAGGCGGAATGTCTAAGCCCCAATCCTCTGTGCGTCAAACAGAACCAAACCGATCATTGCTACCTCCTGAGAGTCATTAAGAGCAAAACGATCTTACACCGAGGAAACTCACAATTACTATAAAAAACATCAACCTTTAGTACACTTCTCACTTCTTGCATTTTTGTTTTGAGACCTTTACACAGTTTATATGTTTAATTGAGCATATATATCAAAGAAGTACTCATATCTGATGCACACTTCTTGGGAAAGGCTCATTTTTGATACCCAGAATAGCTAAAGGAAAAATGTTCAACTTTGCGATAATAAGTTTGGCAAGGATTTAAGTCTTTCTACTCTCTCACTCATACGCATGCACTGAGTAACTGACTAAGGATTTTACATCTTTTCAAAGAAACTGACGTTTTGTAAATTGCTTCGTTAAAAATTTTCTGACTGGGTAAGAATGTAGAGCAAACATTTCTCTAAAAATGAGAGGTTGGACAGCTCTGTATGATTTGTTTTGAGATTTCGGCAGTGATACCTCAAGAATACATAATCGAGTAGTAAACGAGTCTCAGGTACTCGGCGAGTACTCGTTTAGTCCCTTATGGAGGTATCGTTGTCGAAATCTCAAAACAAATCATACAGGGCTGTCCAACCTCTCATTTTTAGAGAAATGTTTGCTCTACATTCTTACCCAGTCAGAAAATTTTTAATGAAGCAATTTACGAAACGCCAGGTTTTGAAAAGACATAAAATCCTTAGTCAATTACTCGGTGCATGCCCTACTCACTCCCTGAAGCTGCTGTATACTTCCCCTGTGAATTACGCATTAGTGTGGACAAAGTGTCTAAAGACGAATTGACGAATCGCAATTTTTGGGCGTAAAAATGATGCAACAATTCGCATTTTACCATTGTTTTGCGAATTCGTAGCGAATTCGTAATTCAATGCGAACTGATGCGAACTAACAAAAATGATCAAAACCGAACCAAAAAACTGCGTCTTTTTTTCTTCCTTTTGCCAATTCGTAAATTAGAACGAATTCGTAAGAAGGAAATTTCTGGTACCTACGAATTCGTAAATCGAATTGGTCGACCATCGACGAATTCGTGAAATGATCATTTTGGTCCCCAAGAATTCGTGTACGAATTCGTAAATTGGCAAAAATACGATAAAATGCGAATT